TCTCTGTCTCTCAAAAATGAATAAATGTTAAAAAAATTTTTTAAGTCAGTTATATTTTATCTAGTGTTTCTATGTATTTTTAGTGGGATGGTTTTTCAAGTTTATCTAGAAATTATAAGTCAATACTGAAATTATGAACTATTTCAGTATGAACAGTAAGAGCACTACCTATTAAAGTATGTAAAAAGTACCTCTCAAAAATGTATAGAGTTAAATGTATTTATAAGGAAAAAAATAAAATCTCAACATGAATAAATCATCTGGATAAAGAAGTTAGAAAAGAACAAAAAACTAAGCTGATGAAATACGATAGATACACTGCCAGATTGATATGTGATATATGACTGCTACAAATATGTACAGGGATATGGAGCCAGAACTCTTACTCTATTGGGAGAGTGTAAACTGGTATCACCATTTTGTAAAAACAATTTTGACATTATCTAGTGCAATTAAAGATGTGCACACTTCGTGATTCAGCAATTCCACTACTAGGTATTTATCCTTGAGAGTTTCATGCACATCTCAAGCACCAAGGAGCACACCCAAGAATGTTCAGACCAACATTGTTTGAAATAGTGAAGAAATACTAGGAAAAAACCCAATGCACATCAATAGTAAAATGGATAAACTGTGATATATTTGCACAAAGGAATACTGCATAGCAATGACAATCACTAAACTAGTGTGACACACATTAACTTGAGTAGATCTTAGGAACTATGTTAAGTGAAGAAAGAAAATTGTGAAGAATAGATATACTTTGATCCCACTAGAGTGGAGTTAGAGACGGAGCATAGGAGACTTCTAAGGTTCTGGGAACCACTAGGTATAAAGGGTCAAGAGCCAGCCTGTTATCCATATATGTATGTGTAGACATCTGGAATGATATTCATCAAATATTAATATAGATAAATATAGGCAGTAGATTTTGGATTGTTTCCTATTTTCTTTGCATTTTTTTCTGTACTACTTCAATTTTTTATCACGAATATGCACCATTTAATAAAGTTTTTAAAAATGTCATTCTGAAGGAGACAAAGAGGAAGGCTGTTATAGCTATGTGCCAGGCACTGTTGTAAGCACATTGCATTTTTTAAAATGTTTATTTATTTTTGACAGAGCAGAGTGCAAGCAGGGGAAGGCAAGGGAGACTGGGAGACACAGAATTTGAAGTAGGCCCCAGGCCCTGAACTGGCAGCACAGAGCCCCATGCAGGACTCGAACTCACAAACTATGAGATCATGACCTGAGCCGAAGTCAGATGCTTAAACTACTGAGCCACCCAGGCGCCCCAGAAGGTTGTTATACAATGAGTATTTGTGTCTCCCCAAATTCATACGTTGAAGTCCTAATCCCTAATGTGAGGAGGTTAAAGAGTGGAGCCTCTGGGGGGTGACTAGGTCATAAAGGCAGAGCCCTCAGGAGTAGGATTAGCACCTTTATAAAAGAAAACCTAGGGGTGTCTGGGTGGCTCAGTTGGTTAAGCGTCAGCCTCAGCGCTGACAACATGGAGCCTGCTTGAGATTCTCTCTTTCCCTCTTTCTGCTTCTCCCCCTACTTACATGCTCTCTCTTTAAAAAAAATGAATAAACATTATAAAAAGAAAGAAGGAAAGAAGTAAAGAAAACCTAGAGAGTTCCCTCATCACTTGTACTGTGTGAGGCCCAGGGAAAAGACAGCTGTCTCTGAACCAGGCAGCTGAATCAGACACTGAATCTGCTGACCCTAAATTATAGTAGGTTCATCAAATGGAATAAATGTACTACACCAATGCAAGATGTTATAATAGAGGAAATGGGAGAGGCAGGTAGAGAGGGAATATGTACTTTCTGCTCAACTTTTCTGTAAACCCAAAACTGCTCTAAAAAATAGCCAAAAAAATTAAAAAGGCCTAAGAACAGGGTGAAGCATTTTTGAAATATCTAGGGCAGGTATTTGTTTTAGCAAATCCTAACCTTACCACATTCTTTAATATTTTTTTTAATGCTTCTAACACCCTGGGGTATATTACAGTGTGATTCTGCTCACACTGCTGAGGAAACTGAGGCCAGAGAGTGTAAACATCTTGCCCTGGGCCATGCAGCAAGTAAGTCAGAGCCAAGATGCCTCCTGGGGCAGTCCTTGCTCCTGACCTTGACCTGAAACTGCCTTCCTGCTAAAGGGGCTAAGGTGAGCTAAGGTTCAACTGCTTCCCATCTCAGAGGAAAGTAAGAAATTGAAACTGGAGACCTCAGCTGCTCTATAAAGAACCAAAATAAATCTGCCTTATACCTGCTTATTTCCCCCCTAATTCCCCTGGAACTGTATTGTCTGTGCAATTGTTAAAGTGGATTGTATTGTTAAAATGGATTGTATTTGAAATCTCAGAGGATGAAAATGTTCAAACCAGATAAGCACGGTGTCAATAGTCTTTTGATAAGAGGCTTTTTTTCACTTTTAATTTTTGGGGAAGGAGGGGATATTGTGTTATCGAAATGACTTGTCAAAAAAAAAAAAAAGACCCAAAGACAAAACAGAAACCATAGTGGGAATATGATACATTAGAAAGAAATATAAAATGCAGGTTTGTTTAAATCTACGACCATAGTTGACAATGTTCTTTATTGCTGCTTTTTACTATATTGTGAATTAATGCAAATACCCAATAAGTATAAGTTATAAAATGAAGGAAAGAGCAAGTATTGTGTCAGTTCAAAACATTTAACCGGCCCAATTGTTTTTTGAGTCCCTAAGTTTGTAGCAGAACCACAGTGGGTACCAGAGGGAGTAGAGAGGTCAAAAAAGGAGGTCAGGCTTTTACTTCAAAGAGCTTGTGACCTGCTTAGACACATCCAGCACAGACGAGATGCTGGTTATTTTGCCACCTGAGCCCATGAAGGATGAGAATAAGGGCTGACGTGGTGAAGATTTCCTTGGCGCCGGGACCTCCACAGCTCCTCTAGGAATCACGGGAAACTGGGCTGGAGTAAGAGGGATGGCTTTGCATTCCTGGCCATGGTAGTGACCTGGGCGAAGGCTCAGGGTCTTTCAAGAGTGAGTTTGGTGTGTTTCAGAAAAAGGAGAACATGTATTTTTCTGAGGCAGGAATGTTGAGTAGCTTGGAGCAGTTCTCTCTACAGAGAGAAGGCGTTCAAGGGCCAATGACAGATGTGGAAGAGTTTGTGCTTGAGTCAAAAAGTGAATGGGAGTTACTGCAGGTTCTTGAACTCCTTTGAAATCTTATCTCCAGCCCCCAAAAAAGATGGGCTTTAAATTTACTCTTCATGTATACTAAGAAAACCTTGTTCTCTTTCCTAACAACAACAAAAATCCTTTATTGGAAGCCTATTTATTTTGGCAGAATAAAAACTCCCATATTCTCTACAATCCCAAAAAGTAAATAAAGATCATACTCATTTACATGAAAAGATGTGAGAATTCAGAAAGATTAAGTGATTGCCCAAAGCCACATTTTAAGAATTTCAAATTTCAGAATTTCCAAAGGCCAGGCCTCAACCATTTTATCCATCTACATGCCTCTAGCAAAGTGACCCGTTGGACCTTTGCTCTAGACCAGATAAATATGATACACACACACACACACACACACACACACACACACACACTACACATACACACATTTTGATTTTAGGCTTTAGGGGCCACTCTCTGTCACTACTACTCAACAGTGCCACTGCAGTGCAAACATAGCCATAGTCAATATGTAAATGAATGAGCGTGGCTATTTCCACTAAAATATAAAAATTAGAATTTCACAGAATTTCCATGTCACAAACTTATTAACTTTTTAAAAATTCTTTTTCAACCACTTAGAAATGTAACAACCATTCTTAGTCATGGGTTCTCCAAAGAGGTCGTGACCACATTTGACTTGTGGATAACAGCATGCCCACCCCTGTTTTAGGCTTAATGATTACAGCACTAAGCTAATGAAGCCAAGGTTAAATGTCTTATCTCTGTATGAGATTGCTTGCTTTACACTGGAAAATCCCGTTTTGTTGGCAACAAGGTATTTTCTACCTGAGCGTCTTGCAAATTTGTAGCAGATTACAAGGGCAAAAATGGCTCAATGCAATCCAAACAAACACTAGGAAAAACAATATATATGTCCTTCCCACAAATGTTAGTAACTTCCAGCACATTTTTATTATAGCCTAGGTGAAATTTTCTAAAAACGTGTTTATCATAACTTTGGGATTTTATGAATGCCTCACTGAGAAATGGCAATGCAGTTTTCATGTTGTCTAATACATCGTATAGACACTCAGGAAATATTGCAGCAGTTCACGTTCAGAGTTTGTTATGTATGTTAGCACATCTGGGTTTAATTCAGTATTAGCCTGCCCTTAATTCTTTAGATCCCTGTTTCACTCCATTCGTTCATTCATCCGTTTAATCAATGAATAGTACACACCTACTATATATCCAGTCTTTGATGGGCACTGGGAATTCAAGCTGAATACTAAAATCCACAGTTTTGGGAAGAAGACAAACACATTTTGCCTGGGTGAACCTTTGGAGAGCTAGAGGCTAGAGAGCCAGAGATAGGGACTAGAGAGTGCTTTTGGAGGAGATGGGACTTGAATCAAATCTGAAAAGATACATACAACCATGATACCTATCTAGAAATGAGGACAATACTATCTAAACTGTTAAATAAGAGAGAAAGGCAAGGGAGGACTGGGGGATGGCCATGAACCTATTGTCTTTCAAATCCTTGTTCCTGGAGTGTCAAATTTGAACATCACTAGTAAATAGTCACATGTGAATCACACACACCCTCCCACTTATAGTGTGTTTCAGATTCAGAATTTCATGAAAAACACACATTAGTAAAAATAAAAGAGAGTAAAAAATGTAAAACGGTAAGAGAACTCAAATTTTCCCTCTTAAATCTGAAGTGAAAATAGTATTATAAGGACACATATTTGGTTTTTTTAGCTGAATTTAAGACACATAAATCCAAATATTTTTGAAAAAGTAGAATGCATTCTCACCTGGAGGACTTTCCTAATTCTTTTTAGATTGTGTATCAAGAGCAGATTTTTCTCTTTGGAAACGCGGCCTAACTGTTCATCCAGTTGTATTAACAAGTTTTGAAGAAGAATTGTTGCCATGGTTTCATTGTTGGAAGCCGCCTCCCTAAAAACCAAAAGTGTTATTACACAGCAGGAAACAATTTCCAGTAAAAGGTCTACTTTTTCACCATACTAGTTTTAAAAAGAGATAAGTGTATTCCACAGTGATAAGCAGTTAAAAACTTTTTAAACTTAAGTTGTACACATCAAAGTATACTCAGCATCACTAATCACTGGGAGATGCCAATCAAAATATGAGCTACCACTTCGTACAGCTATTACTGAAAATCCAAAATAACAAGTATTGGTGGGGATGTGGAGAAACTGGGGCCCTTGTGCATTGCTGATGGGCATGGAAAATGGTGCAGCCGCTGTGGAAAACAGAATGGAGAGTCTTCAAAATATAAGCATAAATTATATGCAAAAGAATAGAAAGTAGGAACTTGAATGGATATTTGTACATCAGCATTTGTATTAGTTTTATCCGCAATAGCCAAAAGGTAGAAACAACTCAAATGTTGATTGACAGATGAATAAAACAACAGAATGTGGCTTACATATACAATAGAATATTACTCAGCCTTAAAAAGAAAAGGAAATTCTGACGTAGGCTACATGAATGAACCTTAAAAAAATATGTTACATGACATACATCAGCCACAAAAGGACAAATATTGTGCAATTCCATTTGCATGAAGTACCTAGAGTAGTACTATTCAGAGAGACAGAAAATAGAATGGTGGTTGACAGGTCGGGGCTACAGAGAATGAAGGGTAGTTGTTTAATGAGGACAGAGTTTCAGTTTGGGAAGATGAAAACCGTCTGGAGATGGGATGGTGGTGACGGTTGTACGGAAATGTAAGTGTACCTACTGTCACTAAACTGGATACCTACAAATGGTTAAAATGATAAATATCATGTCATGTGTATTTTCTCACAATAAAAAAGAACTATTCATTCAAGGCAAAAATTAATTGTACAAGATCAACAGAGCTTTAAAGAATGGTTGTAAAACATAATAAAAAATAGTTATTTAAAAAAAACTTTTAATGTTTCATTTATTTCTGAGAGAGAGAGGCAGTGTGAGCAGGGGAGGGTCAGAGAGAGAGGGAGACACAGAATCCAAAGCAGGCTCCACAGAGCCTAGCTGTCAGCACAGAGCCCGATGCGGGGCTCGAACCCACAACCTGTGAGATTGTGACCTGAGCTGAAGTCGGAGGCTTAACCGACAGAGCCACCCAGGTACCCTGGCTTTTTAACGGTTAGGAATCACTGGGATTTGGACTTACAAAAAAACCAAAAGCACTAGAAGCATTAAGTCTTCATCTACAACAGATGAAACTGGAAAGGATGATGATTGTCCTTCCTTAAAGGAAGCTTTCCAAATCCTTGATGAAAAATATGCATCTACTCCGTCAAAAACAGATCATAGAATAAATCCACATGGCTAGAGCATAAGGCATTTGTATATCAACCTCTAGGGAAAATACAGTAATGTTTGGCCCTACCAGTCTTGATTTTCAATCCACTGAGCCAACAGATGTCGAATTTCCATAGGAAAGTTGTCATCGTAGAATTGATCTACTTGCTCCAAAAATTTGATTTCTAATTGTTGGACTTGATTCCACTGAGACATGCTATAAGTGAAGAGGTAAAATCAGAGTTTACAAACGTTAATTACTGTGGCACATGGGTTTTCCCCCTTAGATTTCAAAGATAACGTTGTCCATGAGTTAATTGGTGAAAAATTTTTGTTTTATAACTCACCTTATTTAAGAAAACAGTAAAGAGAAAATGTTTTCAATCCAAAGCTAAAAGCAATTCTCAGCTTCTTCCTAAGTCATCCCTAATGCAGAGAACATGATTCTTTCTCTTTTCCCAAACCATGTCCTGCTTTGCTTTCACAGGAGCTCCAGAACTTTCTCCAGGAAGATTTCACTCTCCCTCAACACCCCTCACCCTACCCTCCATCTGTCAAGCAATTTTGTGTTCTCAACAAGCTCCCTTCCTATCCCTTCCTCCCTCTGCACTTTTGACTTTGAGCAGCCTGAGGCAAATAACATATGCAACTGTTACCTTCAAAGACCCTCTTAAGGCTTTCTGTGTGAGGAGCACCCAATAAAAGTTTCTTGTGTGTCAAACTGCCCATTCCTTCTTCTTTTATTTCAGATTTGTCTGGCTTCCACAGTCAGCCTTATATTCCCAGTCTTCTAATTGAATCTAGTCTTAGCTTTTATGAAGAGCTTCATGTATGCTTTCTCATGGGATCTAAATCTTTCAGTTCAAAATATTGTGAACCAATACATATTTATATTTCTCTGTATGATGATACACTATGAATGGGCAGAGCTTTTAAGGTCTACTTTTAATTAGTCTCTGATGTGCCCCTGACAGTGGTTAAACCCTCAGGTTACTTTTAGAAGAAACCACACTTGATACCTATTTGGCAGCCTGTCACAAAACAAACGTACGTGTTTCCCTCGTGTTATTCTACGTTGGCCAATGTAGAAGCTTTCGACATTTCCTACCTCAGGGAGATTAATATGACATCTTGAAGTTATAGTATTTTACTTTTTCCAAAGTCAAAAGTTCTGGTTGTTTTATCAGCAATTTTAGATCAAAGAGCAACACTTTTACATGATTAATCACCATAATATTTCGGCCTATCTTGTAAGTTTTCCTTTTGCCTACACAAGGTCATGATAATAAATTTCATGTATTTCAAACACATATCCCTCAGGCTTCAAATGGAACCATTCTGGGGCAGTTTTCCCAGCTCTAAATGCATAGAAACATGTTTTTCTAAAAGAAAGAAACTGGAAAAAGAAATAATGTTTTATTTTCATATAACTTTGTATCTTGAAGACTTTTACACGCACGATTATAGGCATATTGTGGGTGCTCAGTAAGTGCTTGTTAAGTGAAGAATGAGTGGCAATTCCGATTTTGTCGTGAATAGGGCAGGTGGATAGTTAAGTTTTGCCCCAACTTTAAAAATGACAAACATCCGAGGAACTAGTAGGTGAAATGACTCCTGCCCAAGATGCATGGCTGCTAAAGATGGATCTGAGGTTGTCTTTGCAGATGCTGGCCATATATACACACACCATACAAAACTGGAACATTTTATTCCTATGCCACATTGCCATTGTCCTGCTACATCCCTATTTTATTCTTGTTAGTGGTGAGAGCACATGAGCTGAAAATGCCATTACAATTGTAATTGTTACTTTTCTTAAATCCTTGCTATTATTTGGATCAAAGTCTGTTTTCTAACTAAGAATTAACTGGTCTGAACCGATCCCAAAGTTAGAAAAATTATTCCTAGGACCTGGGTCCACCTTCCTGAAAGCTGAACTCAAGGCTGAAGAAGGGAAGGATAAGGTGTATGGTCCGAGGACCCTGTTGTCTGTTGCAGCCTCTAGAAATGCCTTTACTCATCTTCCTTCCCTCCTTTGCTTTCACTCTCTAAGGGCTAATTCTCCCATCACAAGAAAACTATAGAACATTTCTTTTGAAAACTGAGTGCCTCTCCATTCTCTTTGAACGTCTGGCCCTAGATAAACAGGCAGTTTGTCGTGCTGTCTGGGAGCTAATAGTGCCACGCTGGCTCTGTGACACATAGCTTGCCAAGGAGATGACTTGCCCAAAATGTTCCCTCTCATCAAAGCCACAGCCACTGGCTACCTTAGCTCCAGACTTTTCTCTGAAACTCATGTCCTCAATCTAATGTCAGACATTAGAGCTCAGAGAAGCTGGTTAAGAAAGAGAAGAGGGGCTCACTTTCAGCACACTGCGAGGACACACCTCCGCACCAGCCACAACTGTCCCTCCCACCGTACAGATTTGCGGGCTGAGCTCCGGAGTCTCAGGCACAGACCAGCGCGGGAGCGCATCTTTTGCATCATGGAGTCGGACGCCGTGCAGAGGAACCCATCCTCACTCACACCAGTTAAGGTGAAGTTAACTGTCACACCACCAACTGCACAGCCTCGGCGGCATCGGGCACAAGCATTTCCTGACCCGCGCTCCTCCGGAGAGGCACCTCGAAGGTGTGGTCTGCCTACTTACCTGGCTCTCTCAGCCCAGGTCCCAGGCGGTGTCAAGTCCAAAGTCAGAATCGCCCCTCACAGTCCCCAGGACAAAGCCGCTGACGCCATTGTCAGTAGGGGATTTGCATTTCTCCTCCCACTTGAGGCTTTCCTGTGCGTCAGTGATAGAGTCTCTGGGACTTTACTTGAGTCGGTTCCCACCCACTCTCTATTCTAGAAATGCTAAAGAACAGGAACAATCAGGCTGAAGCCCCTTTGCAGGGCGCCCTCTCCTTCTCTACCCCCCCCAACTCCATCCCCCCCCCCAATCACTCCTGCAACTGCAGGTGGTCCAAGGGTGTCCGGAGGTGGGTGGGTAGGTGGGGCTGCACATTCGTTTTCCTCAGGGGGTTCCCATACTGTCTGAGGGCCCTGCAGACTTACTTGTCTGGAGCTAAATTCCTGGCTTCCTGGTTTCCTCCTCTGAGGCTCCACTCACCCTGGTGAGCCGGCCCCAGGGATAGAAAGGGTGCCAGGACCGAAATATCAAACTCCCAGACCTCACTGTGCCCCACTTGCAGGGGTCTCCTCACTAGGGAGAAGACAACTTACCCAAAGGTTTGGGCCAGCTCCTGTGCAGCTGCTCACGCCCGCCTTCCTCCTTCCCACTCGCCAGGTGGCCCTGTTCCTGGTCACTGTGGTATGCTCGTCTCCCTTTGTGACATGGGCCTATTCTAGAATCACAGAGCTGGAGGGAGCCTTGGTCTCATCTGATTCTAACACCTCTTTCATCTCTGGAGAGACTGACGCCCAGAGAGGTGACAGGAGTTACTCAAGGAGTCAGCTTCTGAGCCTGGATAAGAGGCCAGGTGTTTCACTCCCTCCTTGGTGGTCTTTTTATTTCATCTTCTCCAGGCCAGATGTTAACCCTCGGCACACACGGGTTCTATGAATGTTCAGGCAAACAAAGACAGAAATAAAGGAAGATAGACGGAACAAGGCAGAAAGAATGACTTGGTTTGCTTAAACGTGAGTCTACAGCAATACAACAGAGTAAAAGGCTTGCTTCCTGGCTCTTGGACCGGCCATCCATCGTGCTTGTGGCTTGTGTACTGCCTGGATTCTCCTCTCCCAGGTGAGGTTATCAGGTGCTGAAATTCGCCGCCCCTCTCCCTCCCTCACACACACAAATACGTCAGTCAACTCCAAAGTCATACTGTCTGCATCACTCTACTCTGATGAGGCAGGCCTTGGTCTTGGCTGCTGCTTCCTGGGCAGTTTCTGGGAGCTTCTGCTGCTCTGTCCCCTCCTGAAGAAAGTGCCTGAGGGTATCCCAATAAGCTAAGGGTCAAAGTCTGGTTTTCTCTGGGGAAGTGTCACTGCCTTTAGGAAAAGTCCAAATTCTTAGCACTCAAAATGCTGTACAATTTGGTCCCAGCCTATCTGGAATCTCCCCTCCCTCTCCCCCTCCCTCTACTCCTACCCAGAAGCCTGAGATCTGAGGCAGACTAGTCCCTTCTGCTCCCTAGATTAAAGTCTCCTATTTCAGTATTGATTCAGTGTTGACTCTCCCTTCATTGGCAGCTTCCTCCCCCAATTTGTGTCAATTTTTAAAAATTTATTTTGATTTTACTTCCACTGTAGTTAACATACAGTGTTATGTTAGTTTCAGGTGTTCCATTAAAAAATTCAGTAAGTCCATATATTTCTATAGTTGAGAGTCTGTGTTTTGGTTTGTCCTTTTTTTTTTTTTTTTTAAATCCTGTCCTTGGAAAAGATTTCACTGATGACTCCAATCCAAAGTAACTTTTCCCTGCTCTGAATTTCCCTTTCTCCTCACCCTTTTCATCTGAACTAGTGCTGTCCAAGAAAAAAATGAAATGCAAGCCACATGTTTAAATTTTCTAGTAGCCGCATTAAAAAAGGTAAAAGGAACAGGCAGAATTAATTTCAATCATGTGAATAATCCAATAATACAGAATATTAACATTTCAGCATATAATCAATATAAAAATATTAATAAGATACCTTGCATTCCTTATTTCATACTAAATCTCCAGTCTGGTGTGTAATTGACATTTTCAGGAATCAGGAAATCTCCATTTGGACTATTCACACGTCAAGTGCTAGTCTCCAATTGGATAGCCTCACGTGGCTAGTGGCTACCCTATTGGACAGAGCGGATCTAGACCACTCATTTAACACTTTTCACTTCCTGCTTTCTCATGTTAGTCATACTGGTTTTGTATGTCTTTGTGATCATTATATTCAACTGTTGAGTGTCTGCTATACAAAGTGGACTTTGTTCTTTCTTTTAAGGACCTCTCTTCAGGACTCCCTCAGCAGCTTTCAAACTGATCTTATGACACCTTTATCCTTTTAAAATTGTTGACAACTCCAAAGAATTTTGGTGTTATTATTCTGTACTAAAATCATATTTACTGTACTAAGATTAAATCTGAGAATAAAATTAAAATGTTCATTCATTGAAAATTATAATCATAAACCCATTATGTATTAAATATTTTAAATGTTTGTTTATTTATTTATTCATTGAGAGAGAGAGAGAGAGAGAGTGAAAGAAGGGCAGAGAGAGGGAAAGAGAGAATCCCAAACAGGCTCTGTGCTGTCAGTGCAGAGCCAGATGTGGTCTCTATCCCACAAAACATGAGATCATGACCTGAGCCAAAATCAAGAATCAGACAGACTCTTAACTGACTGAGCCACCCAGGCCCCTGTGTTAAACATTTTTTAAATGAAAAACAAATATATTTCCAATATAAAAAACATTAGTGAGGGGGTGCCTGGCTGGCTCAGTTGCTGGAGCATGCAATTTCTTGATCTCGGGGTTGTTTGAGCCCCATGTTGGGTATAGAGATTAGTTAAAATTAAATATTTAAGGGACGCCTGGGTGGTTTAGTCATTTTGCATCCGACTTCAACTCAGGTCATGATCTCATGGTTCATGAGTTCGAGTCCTACATCTGGCTCACTGCTGTCAGTTTGGAGCCTGCTTTGGATCCTCTGTCTCCCTCTGTCAGCCCCTCCCCTGCTAGTTCTGTCTCTCGCTCACAAAATAAAATAAAAAATTTTAAATGTTTTAAAAAATATAATCTTTAAAAAATTAGTGAGAATGAGTGGTATAGTGAGTTACATTTTGAAAATCTGTAATGCATGGCTTGAGAAAAGCTGGATTCTTATATCTGCTTTTGCATTTTATCTTTTGCAAAATATTGTTTAGGTTGATGTATCTGAAGAAAAACTGGACTCGCACAGATACGTAATTGGAAAAGGAAGAGCATTTTAATAGCCTTTTCAGATAAGGTGGATATCCTTCTTTGATGCCACCAAACTCAACAAGTGGTAATTTTTTAAGCATTAGTTGCACTGTGGGATGCGAAACTCTATCAACCTGCTTTATATACACTGTTAAGTGAAAATCTGTTAATACATCTTCTAGTTTAAATAGAAATTTTACCCATACATGATTTTGTAATACCACACATTGGTTATTTGGAAAACATGTGTCCACTAAATTACACAGCCCTTCTAAATGCTGACACACTTCATCATACAAATCAAAATCATATTAGCTAAAATCACCACTGATCTCATTAGAAAAGTATTTTTTATTTATTTTTGAGGGAGAGAGAGCAAGCAAACATGCGTGTGTGTGCTTAAGTAGGGGAGGGGCAGAGAGAAAGAGGGAGACACATAATCCAAACCTCAGACACATAATCCGAGAGCCCGATGTGGGGCTTGAAGCCACGAACTGTGGGATCATGACCTGAGCCAAAGTTGGATGCTCAACCAGCTGAGCCACCCAGGTGCCCTTGGAAAGGTACTTTTAAGTATTGGGAAGTTGTAACGCTCATAGCAAGGATACAAGTTTTCCAAATTCTAGTTTTTGCTTGAGAACTCTGATTTCATTATTGGAAACAAACACTGCCAATTGTTTTCCCTGAAGTGACAGTCACACTTTGTTCATTTTCAGGGAAATGTCTTCCAAATTCCCTAATTTGAATAATCACAGTTTGTGAAGTCATTATTCCAAGTAGAAATGATGTTCTATGACACTCAAGTGCTTTTGCCTGAGACAATCATCATACCTTAATGTGTGTGCTTATCATTCTATGACAGAATATTAAGGAGAGATTAATTTAAAACTTAATAAAATTAATTTTCTTGCTTCATTGAGAATGTTATTAAGTCAAACTGGTATTTGAACATTTTTAAGTATTTGGTGGTAAGGAGTACAATAACTTTTAGGATAATATGGCATCACTGCCTTGGTTCATCCTAAAGCACCAGCATTACCCACCATTGCTTTTGTACCATCAGTGCCAATGTCAACAGAATTAAAAAGCCAAATATTGCTATTATAAAAAGTCTTATTTTCACAGACTTCCTTAAAAAAAGGAAGTCCACAAGATGACATTCTTGAAACCTCTGCTCTGTCCATCATAATCAGTTTACCCTGTGGTATATTATGAGGGAATCTTTGCCCAAATGAACACTTTATTTTTTGCTTAAAGCATCTGCCTTAAACCTCTGTCTACCTTCCTGTTCCATGAATTGAGCCAGGCTTCTAAGGACAGGTGTCTTGATGTCTACTTTTCTTCTTTCTGAGAATCAAGTCTAAAGAGGCAGGTCCCAGTTTTTTGGCCCTACATTGACCTTGGCTTCATTTCCACAGAGCTGGAGAAGAGGAAGAAAACCAAACAAAAGCACCCTAGAGTGAAATCCCCAGCTTACCAAACTCAAAGACCACAACAGATTCTTTTCCCCCCTATAACTGATGCCCCAATTGCCCTAGTTAGAAGGCCCACTTCTAAGTTTTTCTTGCCTCATCTTAACAGGGAAAAATCAGATTCTGCACTTGCAGAAAAATAGATTCTAGTTCTGATTGTGCCACTTTCTAGCTGTACAAAATCAGATCAGCTGCCTAACCTCTCTGAGCTCCAAACTCTCTGTAAAAATGGGGATATTATATCTCACCTGAAATTGCTGGGAAGATTCAAAGATCTAATATAAGGAATGAGATAAGAGAAAGCACTCAATAATAGCTGCTATTAATAGAATAATACTAATCAAGTTGTGAGGAACCTTGAAAGTGATTAGGATAACCCTCCTCCTCCCCTTCTCTCCTTCTGTATAAATGGGGTTTCAAATGAACATGAAGACAGAGCAAGTGAGGTAGGCAGGTTCACATGTGTGTATCAGAGTCAGAGAGAATTCAGCCAGTTTTTCTTGACTGCTTCTTCTACCATGTCTTGTTTAGGAGTTAGCAAGAGACGAGAAGGGGATATCACTCTCCCTGGTGCATGTTATAACCCAGATCCACCTTCTCCCAGTTTTTGTACAGAGAATAAAACATTTTCTGGTTTTCATTTTTGTGGGAGCACCTTCCCTGTCGCATTCAAGCTTCCTCTCTAATGTGTCCTAGGGAAACTAGGGTGAGTTAGAGTTTGATGCTGGAGAGAGGGAACGTGTACATACAGAAAGATATACGGAGTTTTCATATGAGTGGTACATCAAAGATAATTGGGACAAGGCAGTCTGGTGTGTATCTTGTTAGCTCATCTGTATGCAGGTCCCTCAAGCTCTACCAGAATAGGGACAACATCTCTTATACAAAAGCCTTTAAATGCTTATCTTGTTCGGTTCCTCAAGTCCAGTTTCCAATGACTGTGCTCCCTCTATTGACACCTCGGGAGCATTGCAATTTATAAATGACAACATTCTTTCCAATAATAATGGGACTTTTTCAGCTATAACTCCATGAGAGACAAAGTATTAGATTTACATGCATAATTTACCTAATTGTCAATTGCTCCATAGCATTAAGTATCATTCTTATTTCCAACTGACCTAGAAATTAGGCTTAATGAGGCTCCAGGACCTGGTCAACGGTAATCAGATGGTAAGGTGCAGTTTCTGGAATCAAACTTAGGACCATCTGGCTTCAGAAACATTTGTGACCATTTGGCTTTATCAAAAATCTTATCTGCTCATACAAGAAAAGTAATAAATTTCTCAGAGACCTATGGAAGAGGTTAGTTTAAGGATCTAAACACAAGTTCCAAAAATAGAGAGGCTCATTGTAAAGTCTATTCATTAAAGATGATGCATATTCTCTGATTCTCCAGCTTTCTCTCAGAACATATGGACAGTTAGCCATGCATTTAAAAGTCCTGGGTGTGTCATGATGGTGACCACATTGCCAACAGAGTTCCAAACTGTTTCTCAAATTATGTGATTCCGTAGCATCTTGTTTTATACAGTACCTAAGGTGACTGTTTCTGCTGAGTCACAAATTAGAAAGTGAGATTCAACAGCAGCCTAGGATATCTGAGTTATAGACTCTTCCAAAAAATTTCTCCATGTTTCTGGTCAGTTAAATAACCCTTAACTGCCCTATTCCATTTAATGTATTCTTTGTATGTTGGTCTCTCTCAGATTTGAATACTTAGAGGATCAGAACTAAGTGTTACTTTTCTTTGTATTACACTGCCTGGCAAAGAGCAGCTATTCAAGAAATATTTACTGAATTGACAGAGGGCTGAAGGAGTGCCCCATTATCTTTGTTGGTCCTGAGAAGGGCTTTTTTTGGAAGACTTGCCTTGTCCAGGCACTTCATTCTCACTAAGGTTGTCACTGCCCTTGGTAGTTATAACAATATCTCACATTTATAGGTTTATAAATGGTTATTTAAAGTTTATACAATGATTTAATGTACATCGATTCTGTCTAAACACCAAGTTGAAGAGGGTAGAGGTTATCCCTCCATCTCTGTCTCTCAAATATTTTAGGGAGATAACTATCTTTGCTTATGAAAATAATTTGGTTAAGCTGTTTGGGATAGTAATAAAAAGTGAAAAAGACAGCTAAATAAGCTCTATTTAAAGACATAAATAGAAATTGGGAATGTGGAGCAGATAGCAGAAAAAGGAAGAAAAGAAGAGAAAGAGAAAGATACAAAGGGAATTAAAGAGGAGAAGGGAATGGGAGAGAGGAGAAAACATGGCACAAAACATGCAAAGAATGAAGAGGCTCAGTATAAAATTTCTACCAGTGAAATCTAATGACCACGTCTCATGACTTATATCAAATTATGTTTTGTCTTTGTTGTATACCTCCTCCTCCTTCCTCAGTCTTCAAGGATGACCGATAGGGTTTTTATTGTGGCCATATTGAAGGAAATGAAAGAAAGAAAAGAGTATCAAAAAGAGGTGTGGTATATCTTTCCATTTACATAAGTCTTATTTGGTTTCTTTAATGTTTTGTATATAAATCCTAAACATTTTTGTTAGATTTATATCAAAATACTTTTTATGACTTTTAATATTTCAAATTCCAGTTGTTTATTGCAATTAATTTTTGTATGTTGATAGTGTATCCTGTGTCCTTGCTAAACTCCTCTGTTAGTTATAGAATGTTTTTGTAGATTCTTTGGAATTGTCAGCATACGCAATCACATTATCTGTGAATAGAGACTGTTTTATTTTTTCCTTTCCAATCTGTATATCCTTTCTTTTTCTTGTCTTATTTCTTTTTCTTGTCTTATTACATTAGCTAGGTCTTCCAGTGCGATGTCGAGTAGGAGTGTTGAGAGAAGACATCCTTGCCTTGGTCTTGATCTTTGGATGAAGGCATGCAGTCTCTCACCATTAATTATATTAACTAAGTTTTTCAAACATACCCTTTATTAAGAGAGTTCACTTCTATTTCTTTTTTGGGTTTGTTTTTTTTGAGAATTTTTATCATGAATAAGTGTAGAAATATAGGGTATTTTTGCATCTGTTGATATGACCATATATTTTTTTTCTTGTTTAGTCTGGTAATCTGATAAATTACATTGATTTTCAAATGTTAAACTAGTCTCAGATTCTTGGAATAAACCCCAGTTTGTTGTGATGTATATTCCTTTGTATATATTGCCAGATTTAATTTGCTATTCTTTTACAAGGATTTTCAGCTCTATTTTTATGAGATATTGGTCTGTAGCTTTCTTTTCTTGTAATGTCTTGCTTTATTTTGTTATTAAAGTAATACTGGTCTCAGAATAGGCTGAGAAGCGTTTCTTCCTCTTCAGTTTTCTAGAAGAGATTGTGTAGAGTTTGTATTATTTCTTCTTTAAATTTGAAAGAATTCACCAATAAAGCTATGTCTCCCTGGAATTTTCTTAGTGGAAAATTATTACCTCACAAATTCAATTTCTTTTTTTCTCATTGAGGTATAATTAGCATATAGCATTATTTTAGTTTCAGGTGTGCAACATAATGACTTGACATCTGTATGTATTCCTAAGTGATCATCACAATAAGTCTAGTTAACATTCAATCCCCTGCATAGTTACAATTTTTTTTTTCTTGCAATGAAGACTTTTGGGATCTACTCTCTCAATTTCTTTGTTAGACATAAAACTATTCTGGATATTTAGTTTGTATTATTCAAAGAATTTGTTCATCTGAGTTGTTATATTTGTAGGCATAAAGTTGTTAATAATATTCTCTAAATTATAATCTATAAATATCACCTCTCTCAGTTCTGATTTTGGTAATTTGTATCTTTCTTTTTTCCAGGGCAATCTGACTAGAAGTTTATCAATTTTATTGATCTTCTGAAAAAACAAGCTTTTGGTTTCATTGATCTTCTATATTGCTTTTCTGTCTTCTACTTCATTGATTTCTGTCCTTGCCTTTATTATTTCCTTCTGCTAACTTTGGTACCAATTTGCTTTTCTTTTTCATGTGTGTTAAGGTAGAAGCTAGGGTCATTTATTTTTCTAGTAGAATCATATATATATTTCCCCTTTACCATTGCTTTAGCTGTATCCCACAAATTTTGATATATTATAGTTTAATTCTCTTTCATTTTGTTCAAAATACTTTCTAATTTCCCTGTGATTCCTTCTATGATGTATGAATTTGGTTTGGTTTGGTTTTAGACATATGTCATTTAGTTTCCAAATATTTGGAGATTTTTCTAGATTTCTTTTATTATTTATTTTAACTTAATTCCATTGTTGTTAGAGAATATACTTCTTATTATTTTAATTATTTTAACTCTATTGATTCTTGCTGTAGTCACAAAATATGGGCTGTCTTGGTCAATGTTTAGGATGCACTTAAAAGAACGTGTTCTCGGGGCGCCTGGGTGGCTTAGTCGGTTAAGCCTCCGACTTTCGCTTAGGTCATGATCTCGCGGTTCGTGGGTTCGAGCCCCGCGTCGGGCTCTGTGCTGACTGCCAGCTCAGAGCCTGGAGCCTGTTTCAGAGTCTGTGACTCCCCTGCTCACGCTGTCTCTCTCTCTCTCTCTCTCCTAGAAATAAATAAAACATTAAAAAAAAAAAAAAAAAGAACGTGTTCTCTGTGGCTATTGGGTAGAGTGTTCTGTCAATATTAACTAGGTGAAGTTAGTTGATGGTGGTATTCAAGTCTTGTGTTTCACTCCAGATTCTCAGCCTATTTATTCAATTATTATTATCAGAAGAGTGTCAGAATCTTCAGCTATAAGTCTGCATTTTTCTCCAGTTCTGTCACATTTTGTTTAAGGTATTTTGAGGCATAAATGCTTAGGTGCATAAACATTTAGGATTCTTTTGCCCAATTGATGACTTTTCCTTTCATGATATGAAATGACCCTTTTTATCTGTGATAATATTTTTTTTTGCTCTGAAGTCAACTTTCTTTTATATTTCTATATCCACTTCAGCTTTCTTAGATTCATTTTAGAATGGCGTATTATTTTCCAGATATTTTAACGTATTTGTTTTATATTTGAAGTGGGCTTCCCATGGGTAGCATATAATTGGGTCTTACTTTTTTACCCAATTTGACAATTGCCCCACTCCGCCTGTTGAGAGCATGTACTATACTCAGCTCTGCGTGAGCTCTGCAAGATGTTCCACCCACGCCTCTCGAGTGGTTTTCTTCCCCTAACCTTGGGTAGTTCCCTCACACATATGGACTGATCAACAGTCAGCTTAAGAACCAAGGGCAGCGTTCTGCAGTCCCTGCTCTGGTGCTCTGCCCTGTGAATTTTGGCCATCTTAGCCTCCCCAAACTCTCAACTCTGTCTTCGCATCTTGGGAGACTGCCAGGCTCTGTTTGAGTGCTCTCTTCCTGTGCTGCATCCTGGAAATTTTCTCCAGAAAATAAGATGGAGCAAAAAGATGGTCTCATTTCTTCATTTCTCTCAGGGATCATTCTCTTGCACTGCTTCTGTTTATCAATGCCTGAAAACCATTGTTTCATATATATATATATACATATATATATATATGTATATATATATACATATATATATGTATATATATATATATACACATACATATTCTTCTTCTGTTCTTTAAAGGAGAAGGGTAAATCCACCCCTGGAAGGGGTGCCAGATTAATAAAACAAGACTCTCAGTTAAGCCCGAATGTCAAATCAACAGCAAGTACTTGTTTAGTATATGTATGACCCATAGTTATAGTATAAGTATGCCTGAAATTCAAATTTAATGGGTCTTCTTGGATTTTATCTGGCAACTCTAATCCCTGTTAAACCCATCATGTTCAAAGTAGAGGTCTCCAGATGCTCTTTTAAGTGCCGGAGCTATATACCTGTTGAGAAATCCATTCAATTCAATATGAAATATTTAGTGAGCTCCTATGGTGTGCTTATCATAATAAGAATGATTTAGGTCAGAATCTTCTTGAAGATATATCAATTGGCAGAGGAGACAAAATAGGCATATGAAATTGTAAGTGCTCAGTTGACCTACAATACTAAGCATAAATGTCACAGGAATTCAGAAGAGTTAAGGGCCAAAATGAACTGAATAAGTCAGAAAATACAGGAGATCTGGTTAACAGAAAGAGTAAAGGATGAAAGAATTGTATTCAGTCAAGGGGAAGAGCACGATGTTCTGCCTGCCTAAAGAAGCTAAGACACTGATACAGAAAAAAAACTAAGACTGGCATCCTTCCAGACAGTGAGGAAAATAACCTGAACAAAAGATGCTTTGGGAAAGTCACGATAAACGAGGTTAATTGGTACCAAGACATCTGGAAATAGTTGTTCAGTTTGTTCACTGAACAAGGGAGCCTGGTTGGGAGGATGGATGAGTGAGGACTCAAGTCTAAACTGCTCCAGTTCCGAGGACAAAAGCCTCTATGCAGAGTCTCATCCAATGAAGGGAAGGGGTGCTTTTTTTCTAATGCCAAGCTGCTTTGTGGGACATTTAAGGTCCTAGGTGGGAACTTCAGGGTCTCCCTTCTGAGTAGTCACAGTACAATTACGTCTATACCTCTGACCCAGATTCTTCCATGTTGGAATCACTATGGGGAAAAGTGGGTGGATATTTTACAAGGTGCAGCATCTCTGAGCTGCAAACATTGTTCTACTAGGCTACTGTGGAAAAAAAGTGAGAAGGGACAAAATGAAATTTAATTTCATGGCCTGAAGGAGCAAAGTAAGTGAACAAGATGCAACTGATAGGGTTTTGGATAGAACGCCTCTGAAGTTCAACATCAGCACTGTGCAGTCTGTCTATTAGCAGAAGGCCATCCAGTGAAGAATGGCCCTAAATCCAGTGCTGTGAATTCAAAGGCCTCCTGGAACAGACAGTTAATGGACTTGTGGAGAACCTTTCTAACAGGCACCTGACAATCTTTTTCTCTGTGGAAAATCTTTCAGGAGAATCTGCAAATTAGCATTTTTAGCGAAAAACTGAATCTCAATTTTGGCATAATTTAAAAAATTTACTGCCCCTCTACATACATCCCACAAAGCACAGTGTAGATTTACACTGTTCTAAGCAGATAATACAGATCTGTAGACGTGAATGCTACTGGTGTGGTTCTAAAGCAATATTTTCAGGGAGTCTGGGTGACTCAGACCATTGATTCCCAAGGTCATGATCTCAGGGTCACGGGATCGAGCTCTGCGTCTGGCTCCACACTGAGCCTAGAGCTTGCCTAAGAGTCTCTTTCTCTCTGTCTCTCCCTCCTTCTCTGTTTCAAATAAAAAATATATATCAATAAAAAATAAAAAATAAGTAAGTTGTATTCCCGACCTCTAACCATGGTATGCACTAGCTACAAGACCTCTCGGGGGTTCCCCCAAAAAGAAGAGAAAGACAAGGGGGAGACAGAGGAGAGCCAAGGCAGGCTTTAGTCTGTATAGCAAGACAGGATGAACACAAGTATTTCGGAAGACGTAAATGAAAACAACCACTTTCTCTTCTCATTTCATCAGTTTGATCTTCTTGAAAGGATGAAGCAACCAGATGCAGACTTCACTGATTGGAACAATAGCCTCATGCTCAGTTTTATCACCCACATTTCATACTAGTATCCCTGTCTGGAAACTATGAGGGTTGTTATTACTCATCTTTACAGAAAAAGCCTCTATAAGATCTTCACCAGCTTGGAAATCCTTGCTACAAGAAAAAAAAAAAATCCCCAGAGCAAATAACTGCCTGTAACAAATAAATGATTTGTGAAAAAACTGTCATTGGAAAGGTGAATCATTCTTTCTTCCATATATAGAGATTATCAAGGACTGTGCAGTCAAAAAACTGACTAAAGTAAACTAAATGAGATGCCTCTTCGGCTCAGGTCATGTGGGTTTGAGCCCCCGCCCCATCGGGTTCTGTGGTGACAGCTCAGAGCCTGGAGCTGCTTCAGAGTCTGTCTCTCTCTCTGTCCCTCCCCACTCATGCTCTGTCTTTCTCTGTCTCAAAAAAATAAACATTTAAAAAAATTTTTTAAAAGTGAAGAATTGCTGTCTTCTTTCTCAGAAGAATTGTTTGACTTCTCAAATTGTTGCTGATGAAGGGCAATAAATGCATGTCGTGCCTGTTGGGCTACTGCCTGCATTGATCCTTCTGTGTGGACTACCGAGTTCCTGCTTAGTTTTATGCTATATTAGAGCAGAGGGGGAAAGTCTAACACAAAAGTAACCACAGTTTTTAATGGATAAGTGCTATTTTAAGGACAGCCTGTCCTACTACATAAATCTTTCTATATTGGTCAAGTTGCAGTGGTTTTCTTTTCCTTAGTTTGAAGGCTAGACCTTAACTGAGCACCAGAGGGTACTCTTCTCACAGGGAAGCCAACTGGCAGGGAGACGAAAAATGGAGGCTTCTGAGTTCCTTCACATGTAAAACAGATAAATGTTATTCTCTAGGCTTTTCTCATTCGGGATTGTGTAATGGCCTTGACCCTGAGATATCATGGTGTTTATAGAATTAATAAACCAGGCCCCACTAACTTGCTCCATGGCTCTGGCAAGGGTATTGGATAATACTTTACACCAGGATGGATGTAGGGGGAAGGAGAGGGGAATGTGAATAATAATACTCAGGTCAAACAATTGCAGGGATTTATTCCCAGTTTTGCTTAACCTGAATACCTGAATGGTGACATTGTTAGATTCCTATCTAGGTGAGATCTGAGCCAAGAATTTGGTCAATTGAGATTAAACACCTTTCTTTGCACTGTATTTATTTAGGCTTGTCAAGTTTACACAGAGTGGTAATGCCAAAGTATCAGGGGTCTCTTGTCTCTCCATAACATTCTCCATTGCAACCCCCAAAATAGATCATCAAAGTAAAGGTGGTATACTTGTTATACAAATGCACCTTCAAGACAAGCCTTCTGGGCATCCCCTTCAAATAAGTTGCCACTTTTAAATCCTCTCTTTTTGGAAATTCTAGAGCCACTACTGTTTATTGGCTGGTGGACTGGCTGGTTTTTCCAGAGAATGTTCTCTAATAATCTAATTCATTTCTTACATAAAGGCAAGGTCTCTGCATTCACCTCCTTATTTGCTTCAAGGGGTAGAAAAATGCACAAGGAAATCACAAGAGAAGTATTAATCTTTAACAAATGTTGTTATGATAGAAATGATTAATAATCATTCGTCACACAAGATAACATGCATTCTCATAAATCCTGAGATACATGGTAATGTACTGAAAAGCTATCCATTCAAATTCCCTTCTCAACCGCATTCACTCTGCAGATTTTCTCGGGTGGAGAAGCTGGTCATGTGTGGCCGTATCTGATGTAACATGAAACTTTGACATGATTGCATAGTGGTAACTTAGACCATAAGCATATTGTCCTCTTGCCCACACTCTGCAATACTGCCCCATTATAAACAAGATGTCTGGCTTCATTGGGAAATCCTCTCAAAATGTTTAAACTAAAATAAGAGCTGACATAGGGGAAGTCTATATTCCCGTGTATTTCTAGCTTCCTATGCCATTCCCAGAGAAAGCCACTGGGTGTTGCTTTGTTAACAATGATAACAATGGGTCACATACAGTGGTTGGCAAAGGGGAAAAAAAACCAGTTAGTCATCCAGTCAACTTATCTTTCCAGCAAAGGGCAGAATAGCCAGATAGGGAATCTAACACTCTGTTTAAGGCAAATGGCCAAGTATTAAGAGCTACACTGACATCGTTGTCTCCTCTGGCAATACTGACCGAGAACCGAATCTGTGTTAGTTGGCTGCACCCATGCCCTACCTAATTCCTTAAATGGAAGCTTCCAATACAGTGCCGCTCTTTTCTTTGGAGATAACCAATAGCATAAATGTTGTCTGGTGGAAGGTAATTAACTCTTGTGATGCCTGCACAAAACTCAAGGTCAGGTTACTACAGAGAACACCTTGACAAGCCAAGGCCAACACAGAGGAAAAGTCCTAGAGAGTCCTCCTCACTGGAGAATTTGTCACCTTTGCTGCGAACTGTATTGTGTAAACTCTGGCTCAGAAAGGGCTATTGTTTCAGCCCGCTTATTCACCTGATAGAGTTTATTCAATAGCACAGCTGAAATGCTTGGTTTCTCACCCTGAGACTTTGGTCTTTATACTAACTGGAGAGTCTACCTGGTCCTAGGTGTATTTTGTCTTAAGTTTCACTGTATAGATAATTCAAATTCTCACAGTAGATTTTATCATACTTGAGGGTGGGAGACTAGAATTATCCAGAATGGCTGCCAGATTCCCATTTCACTTTGGGCTTTGTGGTGAAGAACATAGAAGTCTCCATCCGGCAATGTTTTATTCCTCATAGCAACCCAGGCTCTTGGGTCCATAGTGGGACTCCAGTCAGGGTACTCAATCTCTCTGGCTCTATTTTTGGGATGCTGAGTGGTAAGGACCATGTCAGCCTGGAACTTTCTATGGAAGATGTTACTGAATAAAGACAACATGTGTCTCTGGATCTAGTTGTATCCATAGCCCTGTGCCCCTGGACCTCCTAGTTAACCTAGGAAACCTAGTTCCTCTCTTTTTCTTAAGCAACTTGGAGTTGAATTTCTATCAGAAGAAAACAGTTATTGCCTGATTGGTAGACTAACAATATAGTTCCACACTATGGACTAGAAATAAGAACCCAGAAAGAGAAAGGGAAACAAACAGTAGACTGTTTATAAAGAAGCTGTATTCAAAGTTACAATGAGTGTGACTTACTTCACAGTGAACTTGCAGAATTGGTTGAAGTTTTGCAGGGTTACATCTGTTATTCTTTAACATCTCATGGAGGACTGAGGAAGTGCCAGCACACTGGGAAAAGAGCCAACATAAAATGGTTGTATAATAAAAGGGAAAAAGGTTGAGTTCTGAAAATTAAAGACCTGTAAGCTCAAGTTCTATAGCAAGGGAAAGAAATGCCACAGTGAGTAATGTGAATAGAACGAGATATTGACTTTACATGAACTACATTTTCTCCCAGACCAATCTAATATTTTAATCTATTGACAAACGGGAGGCAAATTATAGCTGTGTATCAGAGCTGGAGCGGCGGTGCAAATCCCACCGCCCAGCCAAAGAAGCCATGAGAAGACTGAAGATCCCAGGTCAGAGAAATCCAGGTAGAGACCAGAACTGGGGACATACTTGTGCCAGGGGTCTAAAACCAAGGGAATCAAGACAATCTAAGATGACATGCCGTTTTCTGTCCCTTAAAAAATTGCATTTTCAAGCATGGGCCTATGAAGTTTGTTTAGCTCCTTTGAGAACAAAGAGCTGTCACCAGGTGACTGCTTTGCATGGTATTAAGTATCATTTGTCACTCATTCACCAAACACTTATTAAATGCCTTGTTTTTGCAAGGTACCTTAGTAAGTGTAAAGAAAATAAAAATGACGAACAGTTGGTAAGGTTTCTCCCCAGCTGCATCAGGAAGCATTTGGATTATGATCTCATCAGTACTGACTATTCTATTTCAAAAATTATCGAACTTCATCTATTACTTTTTCCATTACTTTGAAAATTTGATACAAGCCAGGAGAAATTCAAAGAAAAATTAATGTCTTAAACAGCTCTTTTAATTACAACTTGGCTCCTTTTTAACTTAAAATTTTTTTTAACATTTATTCATTTTTGAGAGACAGACAGAGCACAAGTGGGGGAGGGACAGAGAGAGGAGGAGACACCGAATCCCAAGCAGGCTCTAGGCTCTGAGCTGTCAGCACAGAGCCCGACATACGACTCGAACCCATGAACCGTGAGATCATGACCTGAGCCCAGGTAAGACGCTTAACCAACTGAGCCACCCAGGGGCCCCTACTTTTTAAGTCCCTCTTTTTTTAACTCGTTTTTTTTTTTTTTTTTTACAAATAGTTTATTGTCAAATTAGTTTCCACGTAACACTCAGTGCTCATCCCCACAAGTGCCCTCCTCCATGCCCATCCCTCTAACTCGTTTTTAAATTTACAGTTTAAAGTACCACTCCACCTTTGTCTGTAGATCCCAGATTTCTAATTTTTTTTAACTTACTGCTTTATACAGTTTCAATATGTTGCTCACCAGCGCCCTGCTCCTACCAACTAAAAGTGCTTTTACCTGCAACTTTTTTTTTTTTCACAGTCAGAAGCAAAACAAACATGAAACAAAACATATGGGGAAAAGCTTATTTCAGACTTTTCACTGTTCACGTCTATTTTTACTTTTCTCATAAATCAGTAAACTGTTATTCTTCCAAGCGTGTTTCCGCATCACTCATTTTCTGGGGATTTTCATTCCTGTATATATTCTTTTGCACAATAACTCATTAAATAAACCTCATTTACAGATCTCCGACAAGTTTCTATATCTTGAACTCTGACGTTTCATTATGAACTTGATGTAAAACATCCGATTTGAATACATGTTAAGCAGTTGTAAATAATTTTCTTATACCTGTATATAGGTGTCTGTAAGATAAGTCAGTGGGTGGTTTATTTATTCATCTATTAATTCAGTAAATTACTGAACAGCAGAAACAATGAGCTGTATTAAGTTAAAACTAGGGGAGATGTCAGCTTGGGCAAGACATGTCCCTGCCATCAAATTTGATCCCAATTGCTAGAAGAGACAAATGTTAATATCGAACAAAAATACCTCAAAACAAGTAATTTGGTATTTGTATCAGGTAATTTGAACAAATCAAGGAAAACTGGGTGGAGAAGATGAACCCTGAATGGTGGTTGGGTTTTTGTTTTTGTTTTTTGTTTGTTTTTGTTTTTGTTTTTTTAAGTAGGCTTCATACCTAGCATAGAGCCCAATGCAGAGCTTGAACTCACAACCTTGAGGTCAAGATTTGAGTTGAGATCCAGAGTCAGATGCTTAA